TTAGTTAGTTAGTTACGTTACGTACGTACGTAACGTACGTAACGTACGTACGTAAACGTAAACGTAAACGAACGAAACGTAAACGAACGTAACGTAGTAGGTACGTACGTAACGTAACTAACTAAATAATAAATAAAAATAAAAAAAAAAAAAAAAAAAAAAAAAAAAAAAAAAAAAATAGAAATGAAATAGAAGAACAGGTTACATGATTAGTATAAAAACAAACAAATAGTGTGCTTGATAAACTAACCTGCAATGGATGTACTGTACTTATCTTGACTAAAACCATCATACCAATATTGCATTCGTGAGGAATAATGGTTGAACAGAAAACGAATCAAGAAAATGGTACTAATTTTTTTTTAATTGGTTTCTTACTTAGGTTTAACGACATTTTATTTACAATCGACATATGTTCTACATGATGAATTCGTGAACAAATTCATAAATTGCATTAAGCAAGTTGCTTCATTGACTATCTCTGGCTAACAAGAGAAGTACTTCTTTAAACGGACCGTTAATTATAGCTTATGATGCTTCTTCCCAAGTATGTTATTCTGTTGTTTATCCCAAATAAAACAAAAGTTGAGTTGACAAGTCAAGATTTTTGAAATTCGCATTGCAGCAGAAGGCCGTAAACAGGCAATTGAGCAGTAAGACGTGTTTGTACTTATTTGGCTATTAACCGTATACGATACTACAGCTATCAAGAGGTTGTCGAGAGATTTCGTCAGGAATTGAATAATGAATCATTAGTAGACACACATCCATTTGGTTGTATGTACTATACATCGAATGAAATTCAAAGTTTTGAAGAGTTTTCTTTACGTCTCTATGGTTTCCAAACTTCGAATGACATTAAGGACCCGAGCGGAGTAGTACTTAATAGCTCCACTCAAGGAGTTTTGAACTCGGAAGAAGCCTCTCCTACCTTCAAATCAAAAGAACCAATTATCAAAGATAATTCCAGCTCTGATATACATTCATTTCCAAATGGTCTCCAACAAAGTTTCAGGAAAGTTTAAAACGCATACTAATCCTTCCGAACCATATAAACTTATTGAAAGAATTTGGTAAAGCTTCAAATGTGAAATACAGAATCTGTGACGAGGAAAATGTACGCTGTTTGAAAGTGAACATTCATCCAACTAACCGCGAATAGTATGTTACATTGCGTGCATCCTCAAGAAAGGACTTAAACAAAATGTTAGATTTACTTAATAGGCTGGATTCTTTACTTGCTCAAGAACAGTTTGACCATCGCGAAAGAAATCTCTTTTGTGTTGGACAGTTTCCCAACTGTGAATTAAAATTTTTTTTGCTAAAAGCCGATCATCCCTTATTTAAAATTGCTTTGCGAACCCCTCAGGTTCGTAAAACCACGATGAATTTTAAAGAGTCATGTTTCTTCATTTTACTTTCATACCATGATAATATAACCAATGCTTATAAGGTCTTTCCCTGGTTGTATAATACTTCAAGAAAAGAAAATTCTTCCAATATAAAATTTCCACTTTTTGACTCTCACGATGAAAGTGTTGTAAGTACTTCTTCATCGGTGCCTCCTGATAAACAAGATGAAATTTTTAGTGAAAAGAGAGGATTAGACACATTCGCAGCTCGGTCAGCATATCCTTTGTCTTCAGAATGGAATAAAAAATCAGCTGAAGGAAATCAAATTGTTTCACAAGTGGAGAGTACCTTGGAAAAGGTTCAGAAGCTAAAAAATACCAGTACCATTACTCATTCTGATGTGAATGATACTAAAGAGAAGGTGAATAAAAACGATCAACCATATAGAATGAAAAAAGTTAAGAGCAGGCCTCCGAAATACAATTTCAAGCTTCCCCCGCGCCCTACTGATTCTTCAATAGTCAGTCAGTCAGATTCAGATGAGCTTGTTGTTCGTCGTGCAGTCAATGCTGGAAACGACGGCAATGAAATAATGTCTCAACCAAAAAACCGCAAGCAACAATCAAGTACTTTTGTCTGTTCTTCCCTTCCGGCAACTTTGGATAAGCTCTCCTTGAATGATCCTCCCCCCTCAAAAACAGTGGAAGGGTTTTCTTTGGTCTCTACTAATCCGGTTTCTAGTTGTGGTATTCGCAATCTTCGTCTTTGCTTAAACAAGGATAATTGTTCTAAACAGTTAGAAAATCATGAAGAATTCGACAAACAAAATCAAAAGTTATTATACATGACCCTCTCGAAAAGGTAATCAGTTCCTTTTTTTTTAACTAAAAAATATTAACTTGATTTAGTTTGCATGTTCTGCAGTCATTTTCAGGAGAAATACACATGTCTTTAAAGTATAGAATATGATAGTGTTTTATTTTACTAATGAGTTTGCAGAATTGGAAAAATACTTTATCCAAATTTGAAACCAGAGATATATCAATTTTCTCAAAGTCTGTCTCGCTTTTATAAAAAAGATGATTTACCTAAATCATTATTTGCGAACTGGTAATTTATAATTATAGGAAAAATTGCTAATCGCATTTAGCATTACAAATTCAGTTGAAGAAATCAATCACTTCCTGAAAAGGCCTGTAATTATTCGATATAGTCATTCTGAAATTTCCTATGATCTTGCGAAACCTGAGGCTGTGGAAACAAATGATTACTTTTTATTCCATGGAACTGTTAGGAATGAAAATAGAAAGAAAGGAGAAATTTTTTTTAAGTCCTTCTTTATGAGATGTACCTCTAGTCTACAGGAATGTTGTTTCTTCGAAGCTCGTGATGCAATCACCGTTTGTAATATCAATTTTCCTGCTATGTAAGTTTTGCTATTTTTTAACCAGGCTAATGTCACTTTTAGGCCTTGGGATGCTCGCTTAGAGCTTCATGCATGGACCGTGTTAGATAATCCGGTATTGGAAATGTTTTATAAGTCCTTATGTTTCCGGTACGTCAGTTTGAAAACAAAGATGTATACAATGTTGGCTAATTGTAAAAGGAATGAGGAAAATAGCACTGTTTTAAGCTTTAACAATGTGGATAATAAAGTTACTATACTGTCGGTTCAGCGAATTCAGGAAAATTCAGTACTGTTTAACAAGGACGTACTTCCGCAGTCTACTGATTTTTTGTTGAAGTACTCTAAGATTAAGGATTTTGAGATCTATTCTTCTATAAAAGATCCTTTTTCACAGTACGTGTGTGTGAACCAAACTGAGAACGCAGATTTTTCTACAAATTATACGGTTAAAATAGAGAGTCCGTTCATGCACTCTCAATTTGAACATAACAAATTTATCAGGCCAACCGAAACGGCAAAGTGGGACTTGAGTAATCCTCAATTTCTTGGAGGTGCAATGATAGAGAACTCCCAGGATTGGTACACTGCAGCAAAGATTCTTGTAAAACAATTAGACAGCATTAACACAATATGTTAACTCAATCAGCAGTCCCTTTAAGTCTACATTACTTATTCCGATAACCCAAATCTTATTAAAACAGTGTTAATAAAATATTGACGAATGAACTTCACTCATTCTTCTTCCAGATCTTCAATCTTCTTTTTAAGACGCTGAAACTGATTAATAATGCTTTTCCATTCTTGTTCTGCCCCAAAATTAACCTGCAATAACCCCAATTCACGATCAACTTTTTCGAAAACCTTCGTATATTTTTTCTTCAACTTATCTTCTTCGACTGAAGACGTGAATATATAAGTCATTAGTATATCTAAGATAGAAATAACCGACAGGCAAATCTTAGAAGAACCGGAACTCGTCCGAGAGTCTTTAAGTATAGGACAAGCATCAGACCAAGCATCCCTGACAAAATCTAAGAGTCCTGGAATAAACGGAACCATATTTTGAAATCGAAATTGAGGATTATCAACTAGGTCATGTTTGCTGGCACTAAAGAGTGAAAGATACGAAAACGAACTCGGCGTCCTCAGAAGATCAAATTGTGGGTGTACCACTATGTTGTGTTCCATATAAGGATAATCTAAATGAATAGCGGATCGAGCAGTCTTTGACTGACGGTTTGGATCAAGCCCTAAATGTAAAAATTCACTGCAGACGCTTATATGACGAATTAAATTAGAGGTGGATTTTTTAGAAAAAACGGACGTTCTTTTAACTGATGCTGTATCAGAACTCCAACCAAGTAAACTAGAGAAGCATTCCAAAGTCTTTTTCCAGTGCAGAGAAATCACAGAAGGATTCAGATTATTTCGGCAAGCTTTTAGTATGAGTGAAAGATACCGAGTTGAGTCATTTCTGATAGAAGGAGTGATATGCGTCATTCCTGAATGGGTATACAGAAACATAATACCAACATTGGGCTCTAAAAGATTGGGGTCTATGGTGAACATGACTTTTACGAAAAATTGGTATAGACTTTCTCGCACTTGAGCTGATTCATCTAGAATCAGAGGTGCCGTAACCTTTGCTAACAACGACGTTGACATTGTCAACAATCCAGGATGAGACAAAACATAATGCGATAGTTTGTCCAGCGATTCTAGTAAACCGTTAGTAAAACTCCACAATACTAGACAAACCTTGTCTTTGAGAAGCATTATGGTGCTTAAGCATCCCAATTAGATGTGAAAATTGCGCACGGTCTTTCGCATCATGTGTAAACTCTTCTTTTTCAATTGTAGCTTGCGTAGGTAAAACAAGAGCTAAAGATGTATTAGTATTCAATTATTAGATATTTTTGCTTAGCTTACTTTTTGATCGAAAACTCGTGTCTGTAAAATTGTTTGGCAATTGTTTCGATTTGCCAACTTTGAGTTTTTGTTTCTGGGATAGGTTAATAATACTTGTTCCTAAAGGTTTTCATACATTAAAATCGGCTCTTTTAGCCTTTGCTTTCTTGGATTTTCCCATTATAAAATTTATGCTTCTTATGCGAGTCGCTATGGTAGTAAGCTAACTACACACCACAGAGACTACGGTATGTTCTTGTAACAAGTCAAGTGGATTAAAAGCATAGACGACTATTGCAATTTAATATTATCCAGCATATTATTGCTATTATACAGTCAAAATAAATATGAGAAAATCAATCCACTAATATATTCAGTAGGAAATTTTTCAATTAGTTGCATCGTTTTTCTTGTTGAAACGCAAAAATCCAAACGCATTTTGAAATTGCTGCTTTTCAAGCTCCAAACTAGACAGCCTCGTGGGTGTGCTAATATATTCGATATTTGTACAGCTAGTAATAGAGACAGTTTTGTATATTTCTTTTGTTGTTGTTTGATGTTGTTCTTGCAGTTTCTGATTAATCGCTTGAACTTGTAAGAGTTTAACTTGTAAGCTTTTCAAATCTTCATGTTTTTCAAAATTCTTTGGTAAAGGTGTAGCTAAAAACGAGGCTTGATCAGTTACTGCTTCAAGTGGTAAAGTTAGTTGATATACTAGAAGTAATGAAATTCCGAGACAACTTAAAAATAAAAGCAAAGATTGTAAACGAGAACGGAAGATTTGCCAAGAATCAGGAGCAGGATGTACAACTTTCTCATAATCATTTATCAACACACTAGTTTCATCAAAGTTTTGTTCTTCAAATTCAAAACAGAGGATTAAGTCCGACACTATTTGACTATTCCATGCCAGTTGAATGATTGAAACGGGTTGCTTAAGCATTGTTCGTTTGCTATTAGGATTAATGTACCCAGCAAGGAAATCTAATTTAGTTAGCAAAAGCGCGCTTTAAGAAACATACAAGATGTTGACTGAATACAAACCGTAGTTGGGACAAGATAGGACACATTTGGGGTGGGAATTGGAAGTTTAAGAGATGTAAAGTTTGAGCATTTTTCATACACAGATTTAATGCTCCAGCAAATGTCAACGGAAGAAGTTGGATAATGACCTTGAAATAATACAACCTCACCACTCTCAAAAAGAACCAAACGATGTTCAGTTTTCGGATGACCATTAACCATGCCCCAACTTAATGAAGAGTATTTAGGCTGGCCAACACGGATGAGTTCCATCCCTGGTTTCAAGGAAGAAACAAGGTTTAGGGACAATAGGACGTCCATACCACCATCTGAGGGCTGGATTGAAAGAGTGGAAGAACTGATCCAAGTATACTCCTTTGGCCAAGGAAATTCGGGACTAGAGAAGGAAGGCAGTTTGCTTACATAAAATTGGAAGGGTCGTATACAAGGATTAGAACTTTTCCGATGATAAGAAAGGACATTCAATTGTTTCAAATTGCTGGGAATCCAGGAGTCTGTAACCGCAGCATGTGGGACGATGACTTCACAAGGAAAAGGAGGTCGCTCAATCTTTAGACTACACAGAGATGGCAAAGGAGACAAAATCATTGGCACGGAAGCTTTTGCGCCAGATTCAATGACTTGCTGAAACATAAAAGAATAGGAGCAGCTAGAAAATGGGAAGCCAGCTTCGAATTCACAAATACGAAGACCTGGCAAACTAACATTTGCTGAATCTAGAGAAGTTAGAAAACAAAAAAACTTATTAAGCGTCACTTACTAGGTGGATCTGTGCCAATAAGCCGAAATGGGGCTAACTTTGATAAGTCTTGATTAATAAAAGATTCAGAGACAAGCATAAAAAATCGTGGTTTTAAGTTGGAAACATTGGATGATGATATTTGAGAAGAAGGGAGAAGTTTAAAATATTTAAAAGTTTCACAAATAAAAGTAAGTTTGCAGGAAATTTCAAAGGAGGAGGCTTCTGGATTTAAAGGAATAGTTTGAATTTCGGCAGTAAGAGTACAAAAGGAGCTTTCGGGACGCCAAACTGAAAGGGGCTTTTGGTACAAGCGTAATTGAGAACCAAATTTAAAAGTAAAATCTGAGACTGAAAATGGCGGCCAACAAAAAGTTTGCTGAGCATCTGCAGATTGTATTTCACGTTTTCCTTTGTTGAACGCCTTTAAACGTGTCTGTGTAGATTTAGGAATGGATGTATTGACTTGGTCCAGGGACAGTTGCAGAGTGCATTGAGGAGAAGAAACGGGGGATTGGAAGGAAAGGGTGATATCAAAGTTGTGAGGAAGGAACGAAAGAGGGACATATTTTTCTAGGGAAAGGAAATCACGAAAGATGGGAACTTGCAAATCCACAAGAAGTACAGTTTTGATTACCTGATTTGTATCCGAGACAGTTAAGGAGAAAGAGTCGTCCACAAGGTCGAGGCAGACAAGAGGGTCCTGAGTATTTGTAAGAGTAGTATAATCAAAGGACGCATCAGACGACTCAAACGAGGCATCGGAGCTTGAAGAGGCAGGAGACGAAGAAGAAGAATTATCGGAAAGAGAGATAATGGACGGATGTTCTTGGAAATGGGGAGAAGTGCTGGAAGAGCTGTCCAAGGAAGCTGATAATTGAAGGAGTTCATCAATGCAAGAAAAGCGAAGGCGCGGAGGGGCAGAACAATCGTCTTCGCGGTTTAGATAAGCAAGGATAGATGATGAAGCGGTATCACGCACAAATTCAAGGGAGCATACGCCATCTGGAGAATACAGACGAAAGCAAAGACGAGGGATAGCAAAAGGGCAAAGGAAGAGATGGAGCAAGGGAAGAGGAAGTGGAGTCTTGTTAGCAAGAGGGATGATCTATGAAGAATTAGTCGCAGAAAAGAATTGAAAGATAGGAAAAGAAAAGAGGACGTACTGTATATTCGAGCTGTAAATGGGAGGTAAACGTAGGAAGCCAAGTACCACGAGTTTCAAGTTGTAAAGAATGAAAATCCGGGTGTCGTGAAGAAGCAGAGGAACATGAAGAAAAAACCCGAGGAATGGCAAATATGCCCATTGTGCCTAAAAAACAAAGAATAAGAAACCCAATCTAAGTAGAAAAGAAAATAGACACAGTAAATGTATGGGAGATTGGGAAAAGGAAAAAGAATCGATAGTCAGAAGGATAGAGTAAACAAAGAAGGAAGACAAAAATAAACAATGAAAAACAGCCAACAAAAAGAAATGAATGAAGAAAACTTATTTGTGAATAAAAACCTGTGTATATGCAGGAAAATCCAGTGCTTATACGTAAAAGGATAAACACGATGCAGGATGAAACCACACAACTGTACTCGATAAAGGGAGAGTAATGTTTCTACTCAGTTTGCTGTTTGCTAAACAAAGACAAAAACATCTCTCGAGCCAGATTCGAACTAGCGACCAACCGGTATCTTTGAAATTACAGCCGGGTGTGATAACCAACTACACCATCGAGAGAATTGTTGATAGCTAACTATGCTTTATACAATATTAGAATATAAGCCAACTTTAGATATAGATATTGGTTTATATTGAGTGCAAGGGGATAAATTGCCGATAATCGGACAAACGACTTTTGAAATTCTATTTCTTTCTGATGTTTATTTTCCTGTCTTAGACGTTTCCTTATTCTTTCCCAGCCTTTTTCCTTTTTCGGTTACTCCTTATCTTTCATATTTCCGTGACTGTTTTGAACTGCGATCCCTATCACAAAACTCTATGTAGCACCTAACCGAAAGGCGGTACTACTATCCATCCATGCTAATGGGGAAGTGCATCATCGCGTCACAGTTTAATAATCCATAAAAATATCTATGAAATTTTAAAAAAAACTATTTATTTCAACGGTACCTTATTTACTTCCTTTCCTTTTTTTTGGAATCGCAGGTTTTCGTTGGTCTTTTTATATAAGTCGTACCGTAACATTTAATCGTGTCTATGAACAACCTTTATCCATGTTTTCATATACCCTATCAGTCCAAAATTGCGTCCGTCGATAACGATCGGAAATGACGTCAGTTTCCCATTGATATCGAATTGAACCCCTCAAGCTAGAGATAAGCTTTTTTGGTGCGTACAAGTCTAGACGCTTCGATCCTACCTGGTTGTCGCCAGAAGGGTTCACCTTATCCAATGAATCATCCCAGGTTTGTCTAGCTTTGCAATCCTCGGACGCGTCTTTTTAGGTCCTGTGGCCCGATTTCTCCTATTTAAGAGTCCTTCCCCCCACAAGCATACCTCAAACACCACACAATTTTTACAAATCCATTTCAAATTAGAAGACAAGATACTATCTATTCTGTATAAAGATTCATTCATTGATTCTTTCTGTATATTTCTTGTAAGCTTTATAAGAAAACGACGACTGCAATTTCGTGTGTTTTCTCCTCTTGTATTATTTTGTTTTGTTTATTGAATTTTTTGCTGTGCGTTGCCCAAAATGTGTTACTAAATTTGTAATACGTGAATCGTATTGTTAACTCCTGTTGGATTTAATTGATCGTCGTTTTTTTGTGTGTGTTCCCTATGTTTTGTTGAGAAAATTATCGCCTTATTGGTTTTGGTGTCTTTTTTTATAAAAAAAAAGAGAATTTCTGTTTGTTTGTTCAATATGTTCTCTTAAGGTTTTTCGAGTAAGGTTATTTTCCTGTCCATTTGGTCCATCCCTTTATAATAGTTCTCTATAAGAATCGGTCTTCTCCCGTTTTCTTTTTGCCTTTTATAAGTTTATTTTCTATTTCTATTTCCAGATATCCTGTGGCTTAATTCCATCTTTTCAAGATGTCTCGGTGTTTTTCTATATATTTTGATTAAATCCGTGCTTTCTGTTTTTATATATATAAAAAAACAAAAAGTGTCTCGTTGGTTTATTTCCTATTCTAACTGATACCCGTCGAAAATCGTTCAGTACCCCCTTATCGTATACTTATACACTATTGTGTTTTGTTTCGTTGTGTCAAGTTTTTGTTATAATCGTTTATTTTTTTTGAGTTTAATCATGAATTACTCTTCTCAGCGATCTCAGTTCCCCTTTGGTCAATCTCTTCCTTCATCATTGGCCGAAGGGATTTTTCAGGGTTCAATGCCCCCTGTCGACTATTCTTCGTTAATTACCTCCTCTCATCTTTCTGATGATGCCTTTTTTCCTTTTCCTCCGCAGAATCATTCACCTTCTTCAGAAAATGACGAGTCCAACGACCTTCATTTTGATCCTGAGCTAATGCTCAACCTTTTATCGGATCCTTCATCGTCCCTTAATACATCAAAAAAATATATACCTCAAAAGTCTGCTTCGGCAAACGTTCCTCAACCTAAACCAGCTTCTCTTCCTGCTTGGAGTTCTTATCCCAGTCCACCAGTCAACTCTAATCAGTCTACCTCTACTGCTAAGCCTCGTAAAAATACTTCTTTCTATAATTCTCCATTGTGGAGTGGAAACTTAGCTGCTGGTTCCCATATCGATAACGATGTCTTTTCCGTTCAAAACAGTTTATTATCCGAGCCCACACCCCCATTCACCTTTGCTCCTACGCCGAGCTCTGCTTTTTTAGAAACACCATTACATGGATCCTCGGACCTTGATTTTAGTTTGGGTGATAACCAGATGCCTCTTTTCCCTGCCTCCGATGGTGACTGTCAGCGCGCTTTTAGTTCTATATCTTACCTCAACAGCAATGATTATAAGCTGGCAAATGTAGGTTTTCAATCTTCGCAGAATAAAAGACCTGCATATGATTCTCCTTGTGATATGCCTGACTCAAGTTTGCGAACAGAAGAAAGCAATAGTGTTTCTGATTATTCAGCGGCGGTGTCTTCCATGGAGCCCTTCTTTTCTTATGAAGCATTCGGCGAAGCTTCCAAAAATAACTTGTCGGCGACACCTAATTCTTTTACCCACGACAGTTGTGGTGAAAGTCCGTCCTTGACTTCTCCAAGGAAGTCTGCTTTGACCACTGGTCTTGTGTGCTCGGCTCCGTCTAGGACACCTGTACCAGCTACTAAGCTTGCTCGAGTGGTAAAGCCTAAAAGAGCTCGCGAACATATATGCTTCAATTGTGGTGCTACACAAACACCTTTGTGGCGCAGAACCGCCGATAAGCACCATTATTTATGTAATGCATGTGGTCTGTATACCAAGCAATATGGAGTGATGAGACCATTGGCTCCGAAAAACAAAAGCAATCAAAAAGGTCCTGAGAATCTTACGTGCGCTAATTGCAGTGCTACAAAGACTTCCTTGTGGCGTAAAGACCGCGTGGGACAGACTGTTTGTAATGCATGCGGATTGTATGCTCGTCTCCATGGCCACAATCGACCCTTGGGCTTGAAAAAGAACAAGCTAATACGTCGACGTCGTGGAAGATTATGTGATGAAAGTCCCACTTCGGATTCTGTGAAGTCGGATGAATCTCCTGAGCTTTCTCAATCTATCTCATCCTCCGAATTACATGACTCCAAGTTCTTGAACGAGCCTATGTCATTGTTCCCAGAAAATATGATGGAAAGCATGTTGCTGCCTGTAAAAGCAGAACCAGAAGCATCGTTTTCTGCTTCCTTATAATCACCTTTTTTGTATAGGAACTATCAGTGATTGGTCGTATGGGTCGGGTCTGTTTGCTGCATTTTTTGGGATATATCATAATAAGGATTCGGAAAAAAAATTTGTACGCATGAGAGGATCAGCTAAATTTTGGTAGCTGTGTGAAATATCAGGCAATCCTCTTGATTTGCCCTTGTTCAACCTAAGGGTTTTTGGTTATATATATTTATATTGTTATTTGTTTAATTAGTATATCTAATTCGTGTTAGATTATTATGCAAAAAAACTGAAAGGAAAAGTTTACGTTTTCGGTTTTTGGTATGCACTCGAAAGCTCAAAAGAAACCCTTTTGGGTTACTATTGGTTTACTATCTTTTTGTCTCATTTAAAAGTCCTTTTTTTCTTTGTTTTTTTTTTAGTTAATTGATTTTTTTCCGAATCTTAAAACTCGGATTTTTAAAAGACATAGTAGTAGTGATCGTATATGAAGATAAAAGTAAATGGTTTAATCTGACAGCGATTGAGTTCAATCAAATTATCCTTGAAATTATCTGCCTTGTAAATTTTGGTTACAGATGAAGGTTCCCTCGAATGTGTAGATGATTCAAAGTTTATTAGTTTTGTTTCATAGTTGTTTGGCTATGTGGGCAAACATTTACGTTGCAAAAGTAACCAACGATGTGGTGTATTTATGGAGGTATTTACTGGGAAGATTCATTTGAGCTTATATTAATTGGTAGATGTATCGTTGGTTATTCTATATCATATAAACATCCAGCTGGTTCTGTTGTAGCATAGAGAATTTTGTTTTTTGCTAATTGATTTTTTCCCTTTGTATGTCAAAGAGAAGAGTCAGAAGGTTTGTAGTTTTACTGCTAATTAGTTTCTTGATATTGTTGAAAAAAAAATGATAGGAAGGATCCTTGTATAAAAACTACCGTCAAAACGGATAGTAACATAGATTTATTAACGAACAAGTGCTAATTGTTTAGCACGCTCCCAGAGCTTTAAGGCAGTGTCAATATAGGTTTGCTTTTCGCTGTAATACTGCAAACCAAGGGATATGGAATAAGAGTTGTCCGATTTATAGTGCTTGTCGTTGAAAGGAACATCAGTGGGTTCAGAAATGACATCCTTCATTTCAGGGAATTCTTCACGAAGAATTTTACAAACGTCGTTAGTGATAAAGGGACCTTTGGATACAAGCATACGACCATTACTCATTTCGGGCTTTTCAATTGCAACGACATGAGCATTGGCAATGTCACGAACATCAACTTGTACGTGTTGGAAAGAAGGCTGCGCCTTGGAACCATTGATGAGGCTCCATAGAAGACGATTAGAAGCATTCAAGGATTCCATAGTCTTCATAGGATGGATTGGGGGTCCAATCACCAAAGATGGGTTCACGGTGCACATATCATAATGAGGCTGCCTCTCCTTAACAAAGTTACGAGCAGCTATTTCAGCAAACTTTTTAGAAGCACAATAAGCAGCGAACCCATTTTTAGTCTCTAAAGCCTCCTCATAGCTTATGGGATTCCAGTCTTTTTCAGTATAAGTAGAGCCAGAGTATGGGTCTTTCATAAAGTCGCCGATAGCAACAAAGGAAGAAGTAATAACCACACGTTTTACCTTTGGTTCGTTCAAGGAAGCCTCCAAAATATTGATTGTACCCTTATGAGCAGGATCCAAAAGTTGGGTCTTATTGTCGGTTACATTTTCATAAAAGAAAGGAGAAGCAACATGGCAAATATAATCGCATCCTTGAACGGCATCCTTGAACGCGTTAGGCGCAACAATGTCTTTAACAAATACAAACTCAACTTTGTCTTTAAGCTCAGGATTCAGGCCGACAAGTTCTTCAGCTTTTTCCATGGAACGAACGGCACCCCGTACACGATAACCATTGTTAACCAATGTAACAGCAACATGAGAACCGATGAACCCAGTAACGCCAGTTACTAGAACAAGACTTTGGTTCGGCATGATTCTTATATTTTGGTAAAGAAACAAATAAAAGTACACACACTCAATAAACAAAAAAAAAAACAAAAGGGGGAAAAGGAAAAAAAAAAAAAATTAAAACTTTCGATAGTTTCCTTCTTTGTATAAACAGATTTAGTTTAGTTCCACCAAGTCAGAACAGAATGTAATGTAAAAAATAAAAGAATATCAAAAAAGAAACCTCCCAGCAGCCAATCTCTAATTATATAGTCATTTACTTTCTGTTGTTACTAATCATATACTAGCCTTCCTTGACGCAACCCACTTGACTGTTCGGTATAAACTATTCCGTTATTCTAAGAGGTACTCTTTATAAAAGTTTTCTCTATTTCTCTTGGCCTCGTTGTTTCGTTCTTCGTTTGCGAGTCAATATTTCCGACTTGATTCGTAAGGTAAAAAATTACTAAGAGCATTTTATAAGGAAAGATAAAGCATACATACATAAATAGAACTGTTTGTTTCCCTTAGTAGTCTTCTCTTCTCTTCTTTTCTCTTGGTCTTGTTGTTTCCAGTAGTATCACATTAATATCGTATTAACGAGTTGGCTGTGCTGTCTTAATGGCAGCATTTGTTTGCTTTGTTTAGGAAGAATAAACAGAGAAATAGAAGTAAACAGTATCGAAATCAACTTTGTACGTAAGATTTTAGGTAACTATTTGAATTGGGCAAAAAAATAAAAAAACAAAAAGTCCAGTGCTATTTTTTACTTGTAGGTATCGTTTCGGTAATGTATGGTTTGTATATAACATTTTTTGGTAAATAGGTTTATGAATTTTTCATAGAAACTCGAGAACAATCAGAAATTCTGCTTTTTACGGGCGCTTTGAGGAAAACTGTAGAACGAAGCAATGAAGTATACGCTGCACCTTGGGCATTTTTAAATCTTTTGTGTTTGCTATTTTGAATCAAGAAAAAATAAACACAAAGGGAAATATAAAACAAACGAACGATAGAAAAACAGTGGTTTAATAAGTTAGAAGCGCTTGTTAATTTGCTAGAACATAAAAGACAAACAAAAAGAATATTTCCAAAGAGGGAATTAATAATGGTGACTTCGATGACCTTTTGTTGACATAGTCAACCTGCGTAAACAAGTCGACGAATTTGGACGGTAAAGTTATTTTTTTTCATTTACAATCAATACTTTTTTAGGTTTTAACATTTTTACTTACATTTGAACTCGTAATATCAATCAAAACAAATAAGTGAGGCTTTCCTAATTGCTCTTCATGCTCTTCATGCTATATTGTGTCCCCAAATGACATACTCCTGATCCTTAAAACCTTTTTTTAAAGCAGTAAAATCAATAAGGAATAAAAATATGATTTAGCATTGAATCTTTTGAATTTTCATTCTTAAGTGAATGAATATAATGAATATTTGGATCGGCCTATTAGATCTATGTCGAAGAGAAAAAAAGGCTAACATTGGAATACTTTTTGTTCGTTCAATACGGGCTTTCTACCGTTTCAACAGAATAGAGGCACATGGTTCTGAACGCTTAAGATATGTGTCTAGTTGTACAAGAATTTAAACCAGATGTTCTATTCCTGTAAAATAACCAAATAAAGGATATTATGGAATCCTCGAGTTTGGAATGATGAAATAATAAAAAAAAGGGAAAATTGAAGAAAAAGTGTTCAATAGAGCAAGACTCAAAACTGGTTGACAATTCAAAAACTTAGAAACAAGAAAAGAATAAATATATATCTCTAAAAGCCTTATAGATGATCGTAATCTTCGGAATCGTCAACCTTGACCATGTTCCTTTCAAAAAGTTGACGACCGGTCAGTTTCTTTTCAAGAATTGCCTTCCGTGCATTAGTGTTAGAAGTAGCATTCAATGCTTCGCGAAGCTTTTCTTCATTCTCTTTACGAATTTCTTCCTCTCTCCAGATATCAAATTCCTTCTTCCATTTCATGAACGATTCAACTGTCACGGGGGTACCCTGGAATTTTTCGTTCTCCAGTTCAATTTCACGATTTTGAATATCTTCAATTTCTTTTTCTTCCTTTTCACACTGTTCAGAAAGAACGATATTTACCTCTTCTTTTAGTATGGAGCAAAGAGAAAAGATCATGGCCATGCCCAAGCATTCTTGCGCCTACAGGTTGATAGGTTAGTTTAACGAAAAACAAAGGAAGGAAGGAATCATTTAATTAATTCAGAACCCCACGCTACTTACATTTTGATTGACGACCTCTTGGAGACGCTTCAATTGCTCTTCTCCAAGCCAACGATGAGGCGGACTAAAGCGGATTTTTGTGTCAGGGATTTCATTAGGATATTCATCGCTTAAGGTTGCGATAAAAATGACGGAGGCTACATTGTGGGTTAGCAAGGAAGGTATACCAACCTCCATTCAGAAAAGGAAATCCATACGAGGGTCTGAGCATTTAGATTCTTCCGGGTCTATTGTTTGAGTGATCTGAAACGTTCTTTCATCCAAACCTGTTTCGTTAGCTTCTTCACGTTCATACGAAACCCATAAATTTTGCAATTTCCGGTTTTTCATATAAAAACGATCCCACCGGAGCCAATAGAATGATATTTCTTTTTTTCTACTTACACTGGAATTCATCTGGATAAATGGACTCTAAAATTTCCTTTTCCTCTTCAATAGCTGAACTCATTGTTCTGATGGGAAATTTTTGTTCCCCGTCAAGGTATATTCATAAAGGTTTACGACGTACTTCACTTTTCGCAACATGGGAGATAGAAATAACTAGAATAATAAAGAGTAAAACGACAAAAAATGATTAAATAAATAAATAAAAATAGAAATCTACTACCTTCGAAATCAAGCGATGTGAATTTGTATCCATTTCATCTTCTGCAAACGTAGCTCAAAACGATATTATAGGATAGTTGTTTACAACGAAAATGGTTTACAGATAAAATACGTATATGCCTTCACTTTAATCTTCTTCCTTGCTCGTTCTTGGCTCTATAACATGGCACTTTCTCTTTTGTTTTATTCAATTTCATGTAACACCATGTGTAAGATAAGGCTTATTAAGCATAATTCTTGCATGAAATTTTCTACGGCCACACCTAGGCGAAAACACCAGTTCCCGTCCGAACACTGCAGTTAAGTGAAAATGTCTGAGGGTCTCCGTCTCGTTCATACTATGGTTGGAGACAACATGGGAATTCGGGGTGTTGCTGGCTTCCTTTTTTCTCTTTTTTCTCTTTTATACGTCGACTATTTCCCGTAATCGTTTTCTCGAAAGAATTTTTGCAAGCTGTTCCTTTACAAGTGACAAAAGACTAATTACAAGTTCAATGAAAAGAAATGAAACGATCGTATTCAATTGCAATTAAGAATAAGAATAATAGGAATAATAATAATTAAGAACCTAGTATGATGCCAATGATCTCAGATTACGGTTCCTTTCAATGCGCGGATTGTATGCATGCCTTTCTATTGTCCACTTTTCTTCGCCATTTCCAATTCATGTTGGTACAAGGATGAGTCCGTAGTCAAAATTAAACACAAGAACGCTTAGCAAAGGGATATAAATAAATACTTATCCGAACAAATTGCTTGTAATGTTATCTTTTTCCACTTAGTGACTTTCGATCGGAAGAGTTAAGACTCATGAGAAAAGAAAGGTAAACAAATTAGCATTAACTTTGAGTTGTAGGATTGCTTTGCAGCTCTATTTCTTCGTTCGTAGTTG